CAGGCTACAAATTCATCGAATTATGATTTCTATGGTTTCTTATTAAAAGAAAATTTCAGTACTAGTACCTTATATTATTTCTTTTGTTATAAAACAAAGGTAATATGGAATAAAATGTAGATAAGAATGATAGAATAACATCTATACCCCTTACTGAAATGTCGTCCGTCTTTTTTACTCTTTAAAAATAGATTTCATATTAGATAAAATAGTCATTTAACTTAAGTTATTTTCCTAATATTTAGCACTTTAAAATCAACTAAAATTTTACTTACTAAATTGTTCCTTATTTGACTATAGGAATTTAAAAGCAAATTAATTAAAATTTTACGTTATATAAACTCCTTTTACTTAATTAATACCCCTTTATCATTTTTTTTAATCACAAAATACATGTTGAGAACTATGTAAGTTCTCATTACTAAGTTCTTCCTTATTTAAAATAACAAAAAAATATAGAAAAGCAACTAAATTCCACGGAATTTTGTAGCATGAAATACTTGGGCAAACTGTAAATATAATGTCTTTTGCTTTTTGGAAGAAAGTTCTAATACTTAGGATTTAGAAAAGCAACTAAATTCCACGGAATTTTGTAGCATGAAATACTTGGGCAAACTGTAAATATTAAGTCTTTTGCTTTTTGGAAGAAAGTTCTAATACTTAGGATTATGGTATCTCATTTTATTTTTCGTATGTTTTAATTTGAGTTCCAATAGGAATAAGATGAAATTTATATTACTATATTAGGTACCTGAGCAAATAGAATTTATTTATTAAGGTCAAGATGAACATATTGTTGCATGATATTTGAGTATAAATCAACATATTATTTTACTCTATCTGAGTTACTAAAGCAAATATATAAATATATCAAATTCATGATATGGGATTAGAATACTTTTCTGTGATATACTTTTTGCCTTTATTATATTGTATAAATAAGATTAATATCCATCATTTTTGATAGCTTGTGCTTTTTGTAATATTTTATTTTATAACTCAAACACATAGTTTAATAATATTTATGTGATTTTAAATATTTTATACTCATTGATATAGAACTCACGCGCAACGCGTATCCTAAAACTAGTGTAGTCAGTAGGGTAGAGAACGAGAGAACTTTCTTATTTTTTCAAGTGTATCCAAGTGTGTATCATCACATCTCATGCCCCTATTTATATTATTACATAGAGAGTTGCAAAAAGATTGTCTTAAATATGACATTAACTATTGAGATTATAGAAAAGGATCATAGATGAGGTTATGCAGGTATGCGAGTTACAAGTATAATGTTGAGGAGTAGTAGACTCCACACAATGTATTTCATAGCATCTTTTTTTTTCTTTTTCTTTTTCTTTTTTGTTTCTTCTCGTCGGCTGACATGCATATTATAAGCATCTCATTCCTTTCCTCTGTAATTTCTTTTGGAAATTCACAATGTATAGTCGCTCTCAAAATAATAGCCGAAAAAAATATTTTTTTTTGTATATATATATTTTGTATGGTATATACAAAAGTTATATAAATTTTATACCCTTTTTTTTTGCTACAAAATGTAAATAGTTTGTGGGACAGACTAAAAGTGAAAAAAGCCCATTTCTTTTCTATTCCAACCAAATTAAAGAATTAAATAAACAACCACTCACCCGACCTCTTAAATTAAAAATAGTTAGTGCATATTTAATATATATAAAATATATGTATAATTATATAATTAGTATATAATATATATATATTAATTAAAAAATAAATAGTGAATCCGACCGACTATTTGTTTAAAGATCTCCAAATAAATCTAGCAAGCCCATGAAAGTTTTATACAAATCCAGGATTCAATATCTGGGTTAGCCCACATCTGTGGCTAGACCCGGATTCAGTTCATCTACCTATTGCCCTCTTCCAAGAGACGACAAATACAAAAATCTTCCTCTATCGTTTTCTTTTCTCATCAAATGAAAAGCACAAACGTCACTGGTCAAATTATAGCCTCCCAACTAGTTTAATAATTATCACCTCCAAAGACGGCCACACTCTTTAGTCAATTTGAGAATCATTAATAACATCATATATTGTACAATAATGTAAAACAAATTCCCCAAAACGATTTCCTTGTATAAAAATATGTTATACTGTTTGGTCATCTTTAACATTCAAAAATGCACTCCACAACATGTACCAGTCTTCTTTCTTCTCTCTCTCGGACCTTTACAATTTGGAAACGAATCTAGAATTTAAACATTATAAATTTAAATTTAAATTCTAGCATACCCTATTTCTTATTTGAGTTAAAATCTATATTAGTTAAGTTTTAAATATATACAGATCCGAGCTATGGTTATTGGTTTAATGAGCCCGTAACTAAAGCACCATATTCGGTTCTGAATGAATTTAATATTTTATCTTATTATCAATGAACTCATTGTATTTTAAATTTATAAGTTTAGTTTTATGTTTGTTGAAATTTTAATAATCTTTGATTATATATTATATTAAGTTTAAAAAATGGAGTATCAAATTTAGTTGAGTTGTACATTCCATCTGCCTATGTGTACAAGCCTTCCTTTTACTTCTTCTTTTTTCCTTTAATGGTGAGAGATCCTTTTTAGAGGTGAAATCAGAATTTGAATTTGAAGTTTATAAGTTCTAAAATTATCATCAAACCCTTAACTCGTTTAGTTATTAAATTTACAGTTAATATTTTTATATATTAAATAAAAGATTTTAGCACAAATATAAAATCTAAATAAAAACTAGTACTAGATTCGTCATAAATCATTTTTACTTCTCTAGTCTTCTTGTATACTACTCCATTGAAATAGGGCGTCCAAATTCCAAAAGCAATAAAATGAAAAAGCAGAAACAGAAAAGGACAGAAGTAATAAACCACGTGGTTGGGCAGTCATTTCTCCACGTGGCGAGATGTGGTTAGCGGAACAATAAAATCCCACGTGGAGGACATGGTACCTATCACATGGCTATGCTTATGTACTTTGTTGGACCATGAAAAAAAGCTCTCATAAAAAGTTCCTTAGCCTAGGTCCTTGATAAAGGAATAGGGACAAAGAGTACTTTCCTTTTCAAATATCAAAAAATTGAGATTTATTAAAGGCCAAATATATATACAATCCATTCAACTTGTCACCATTTTTTATTTTGGTACTTTATTTATATCTTATTCTACTTTGGCCTCCAACTCTATTTTATATGTTTCATTTTGGCGCTCTAACTCTATTTCTTATCTTTCACTTTAATATAAAAACTGAAATTAGGACAAAAAATATAGCGCGTGTGTATACACAAATTTAAGGTGTAATAGATATCCAATTAAATATTGCCACCTGATTTTCATCCATGTCAAACGGGTCAATACTAAAATACCTGAACCCGACTTTCATCTAAACGGACCAGGTATGAAATCGACAGATGAAAGCTTTGGAACTTAGAGAATGAAGATGGGGCAACAGTGGATGAAAAAAAATGACCGGGTTCAGGTATTTTAGTATTGACCCGTTTGATATGGATGAAAAACCAGGTGACAACATTTAATTGGATATTTATTACACCTCATATTTGTGTATACACAAGCGCTATATTTTTTGTACTGATTTCAACTTTTGTGTTAAAATGGAACATAAGAAATAAAGTTGGAGGGCCAAAATGGAACATATAAAATAGAGTTTGAGCACCAAAATGGAACAAGGTAGAAATAAAGTGCCAAAATGAAGAATGATGCCAAGTTGGATGAGTTGTATATGTATTTGACCTTTATTAAATTATATACAATAATAAAAAAAAGGCAGCAGGGAGCATAAAGTATCTAACCTTCCGGCAGGATCTGAAAAAGTGATGTATCTCAAAGGAGTATGATATAGACAGTCAACCCTAATATAAATATATAATAATAATATAAATTTTTTGAACTAATCGATAGGAGCGCATAATTTAACTTATACTAGCAGAAGATTAGTTATCAATTTTATCAAATTTTATAATTACTTTACAAATAATTTAATCACGTACATACTCTTAGACGGACAATGCACATAACTTAAATTCTAAAAGGTCGTTTGGCACATGTAATAAGAATAATAAATCGCAGGATAAAAGATTAACTTTAGCCTATGTATGATTCGAAGTAATCCTAGAATAACTTTTACACTAAAATGATAAAATTAATTATTTCATATAAAAAGTGGGATAACTAATCCCGTAACATATCCCATCCCATGAAATATCCTAGCCCCACCATTGTAACGAAACGACCCCTAATAGTTGCTTGCCCCTGCCCCCACGTCTCATAATGTCCTTCTCCACTATACCTCACACACATACTCCACCCTTGACCTAATTCCCTACATTGTACAGCCTTTTATCACGTTGATACCTTTGGTCATGAATGAGATTGCAAACACTGATTAATTAGCTATTATTAATATTTAGAAAAACTTTAACATTCAAATATTGGTAAAAGATTAAAATATTTGAGTATTTCAAATGTAATAGTAATAATTTTCATTCAGAAGTTCTTAACATTTGTTTCAAGTAAAACCTTTATCCTTCAAACGGCAAGTTCTAAATGTAATTATTTTTAAACTTCAGCTTCAAATACTATTTTTTAGCTTTAACCGCTTGTACAAATGTGCTTACGAGGTTTGTCTCAACTTCAAAAAATCAAAGTTCAGAATTATATATGATGTCTTGTTAATTCTTGATAAGGATTGGTGCACGTACGTATAAAATGTACTGCATAGGAGCAAAACTATAACACTAATAAGAAGCACATTTTAAAACCCTTGATATTGAATGAACCAACTTTTAAAATTGATAAAAATGAAGGAATACACATACACTTATTGTAAAATATTTATTTTCATCTTATAATACTAGTAATTGTTCACGTGTAAAAATATTTACTCCTCAGATATTTTTGAAAAAGTACTACTGTGTACACATTCTATTTAACAAGACAACTGTCAATGAAGTGTGAAAAAGACGGAAAATCAGACGAAGCTTTTGTATATAAGAAATGCAAAGCTACCACACCAGGAAGATATTAAGAAGAGATCTAAATTCCTTCAATTTGCTGTTTAGGAATGAAGAGTAACAAGTAATGAAAACGCCAAAGTGTTTCCTTTATCTGCATTTGCACCTGCACCTCCTACATCACTCTCCTCTCTTTAATTTCACCATTTTTTCCTTGGTTTTTTAATCAGGTAAAAATTCTTCGCGTATAATAGGTGTGAATTCAATTTTCACTATTCACTTTTCCCTTGATTTTCACTATCTACCTTCCCCTCCCAGGGAGGCGGATCCAACCTAGTAGGTATGGGTTTACCAATTCAATACCTTTTAATTTGTACATAACTTGTATATAAATATTTGATTGTGAATCCAATTACTTACTTTATTATATATTTACTTGAGATCGTTATAAAAACTCATAAACTGCAAATTCTATTCTGGATTCGCCTATGCCCTTTCCCCTTCTCTCATGTAATGGAAAAGAAAATAGGAAACCAAAAATAAAGTAAAAAGAGGCTCCATTATGATAAAGACTACATGAAAGTACAATGGATTCAAAGGAGGTGCAGGTTCAAGTGCAGGTGAATGACATTTTGGGAAAACTGAGACTATTGATGCTCTTTTATATATATAAGCCTTTTAATTAATAATAATCTTCAGAATATGGTGGGTTGTTTAGTTTCAGGCAGCAGGCAAAGATTGGACTTGAATGGTAGCTCATTGGAGATAAAGCAAAGGTAAGGAATTCCTTATTCTTGAATATAATAACCTAAGCTTATTATTTGTAAATTTCATCAAGATCTATGTAGTAATTAAGTGTAGAAACAGGTCTAGGATGTATTTTATCTGTGTGTTTTATGTTTTTTTTTTTTTTTGGAGATTCAGACTAAAAGTCATTTAGGGCTTTAGAAGACGTCTAAACCCTAAGCTCCTTTTATCCTTTATTCATAAATGCATATTTTTCACAAAAAATTGTAACATGATGAAAAGGATCTATAAATTGATCGCATCTTCAACTCTAATTCGATCTATTAGCAATATGTTGTTTGTTTCCATTTTGTTTTTAGGTATATGCCTGATATCTCCTTGTTTCTACCAAAAGAAGTAAAACAAAAACAAAATGATTTTTGCTTGCTCTAAATTCACCCACACCAACAATTTTATCTTTTTAATTGATTTACGTTTTCCGTTCTCATTCTTTATAGATTTTAAAGCTACTTCATTAGCATTACGATATTGTAAGTGATATATACAATTTTCCGCTTTAATTAGTGAAGGGGCGTATCCACCAAAGATAACAGCAGAAAAGATGGGAACACAAATGAGCAGGTAACTTATATTTTCTTTTCACCATTAATTATAAATTAAAATGAAATTCTGAGTTCGATGGAGATTTAATTTTCTTGTTCATATAATAAAATCATGGGTAAATATTTTAGTGGTAACTAACGAATGACACAGTGTAATCATTAAAGTTTAAAGATGAGACTTCACTAAGTCCGAATGGAGCCATAGTGAAGATTCATAAAGTCAATTCCAATTAGTTTGGGATTGACGAATTGTTGACAAAACTACAATAGTTACTATTAGTGAATCTTTTTTTCACACAATACAGCTGGCATTTCCTTGGCAACTCCCAGATTTTACTAATGCATGTTGTTACATACATAAGTGATTTTAGAATTTTGAATTTATGAATTCGCAGCTTATTGGGTTATGATTAAAGGTGTACAAAACGAATCGGAAAACCATACTAATCCGAAAAGTCAAATCAAACCAATTAAAAAACCCGACTAGGCTTGGTTTGATTTGGTTTGATATTGAATTAAAAAACCCGAACCAAACCGACATCGAAATATTTAATTTTTATATATACTATTAAGACTTTTTATAGAATTTTCTTTAAAAAATGTCTAGAAATATTTGCGATTCTCTTATGGGATGTAATATTTAGTTAAATGTAAAGTGCTTTCATTTTATTAACTTTAAATAATGTGTTGTATGATCACTTTCTTATCAAGTGTTAGTAAAATGCGTCAATCTCTTTGTTCTTCCATATTCATATATCAAGATCTATTAAATTTTTATATTTTGTTTTTCGAATTTTAAGTGGCATTTCGATGATTTAAATTTAAATGGAATATATCATTATATAGGTACCATATTGATTTTATTTTTAATTATTAAATCCGATTAACCTTGAAAGTGTACATCAACGAAAAATTATTGTCAGGTGACTACAAAACTAACTATCATGTGTTACTAAGAAAATTCTCCTATAAGAATATTTTAATAGATCATATGTTTGTCAATTTTTTCAATTTTTACTAAATATATATTTACTTGTAAAAAATTTAACAAAGTAAGATTGAAATAATGTTCATGTAATAAAAAACCCGAAAATCCCGATAAAACCGAACCAATCCAAACCGATATAGTTGGTTTGGTTTAATTTTGATAAAAATCCAACCAACCCGGTCCATATACACCCCTAGTTCTGATTATATCATTTACTTGTATATATTCAATGGGTTTCTAACAGGAATATAAAGTTTCAGCCAAAATTATTGGATTTTACCGAAGTTATAGCTATAACTCTAACTATAAAGGAGGGTATGTTGATGCATTTCGTATAATTTGTTCTACACCCGCTTATAATTTACTGAATTTCAGAATCTTTCATATTTTAGGATGATTTACTACAAGAATATATAAGAAATTGCTGATTTGTAACTCAACTTCCTTTTATCATAATCCGAAGGCCACCTTCCTCATGTCAATGCACTAACTTCTTGAGCATTATTATTTAACTTAGTATTATGTATGAACAACTCTCCTTGTGAAAATCTTGAAGAGTAATATCAACTACCAACTGTGTGAGCTCATAAACCTAATAATCTTACTAGATACTAAATGATAAATCATGTATTAGAGTAGACAGTGCAGCATGATTGCCTTTCTAGTTTTATACTACAGAATAATTCAAGTATCGAATATAATTTGGTACTTTATCTCATTTTAATTTGCTAGGATTTTTTCCAGTCCATATTAGTTAATACGTGTATTGACTTATACCAAAACTTAATTTGGTACAACTTTATACCTAGATCAAGGTAGAATAACAATATCATTACTAGTTATATATGGATAAAATATTTGAAATGTCCATTATTTTTCTTCTCTATCCCTTCAAACATACAAACCACAACCTGAAAAGGCAATTGTTATTGATTTATGACTTGCTATACTAATTTTTAAGACAACAATCCAAATATTTAACAAGAAACAATTTCTGCATTAATCCCTATATTATTAATACCTGCAACCAAATAACCCCTCAGTAGGGGCGAAGCCGCATTTACTTAATTATACTGTATATATAAGTAAGTAGGTTTTAGAGGTATATAACATATATTGAACATTCTTTTTCGGAGAATTTTTTACGTTTTTCAAATTTGAGCACTCTTGAAGAAATTTCTGACTTCATCATTGCCCCTCAGTGTTGTTTAACTAGCAGGATATTAGTCTAATTTCTAGGTTGTTAATCTAAGTTATCTATAATTATTTTTTAGATGGAATGATAGTAAAAATAGTGTCAGTTGTACAGAAGCTTAAACTCTCATTCTTAGTTAAGTAAGATTTTCTGTTGAGTTGTCATTCTTCAAATTAAACTACTCATTTTTGAGACCTCTTCACACACACACAAGGACTTTGATAAAAGCTGCTAAAGGCACAGTGAGACCTACCTAAACTGACAAAGCGAAGACCCCAATATAAGTTTTAGATGATCTGTAATTTCTGTGTGTGTATTTATTAATTTCGCATCTCTTGTTAACACTGACAAACAATATTACTTGGATTTGTGATGAACCTGACAATCATTATACGCTTTTCTTATTCCTTTTCTTTTATTGTGGGTATCTACATAACTGGTAAGTACTCCATTTTGATTATATATTTAGTCATCACTTATAAATAATTCTCACATTGCTTGTGAATGCCATTACTCATCGCCCATGAGTGTTTCAGATTGAAGACTCCTTTCAGTTTCTATATATAAATGCAATTATGGAACATAAAGTTATGGCTTTCTGATAGGAGTTTAACCTGTTATTTATAAACTCAACTGTGCTTTCTTTAATTCCTATGATATTGGCATGTTAATGTTACACTTCTCTATTCAATTGCTATTTGAGTCTTATTGACTTCCATTCGTCGATGAAATATCACCAAATTCAAAAAAGTATTTAACATCCATGGTTTCTTTATTCAATCTTTTGAAACCCTCCCTCCCCCCACCCCCCAACCTCCCTCTTTGTGGTGTCAGGGTTAATAATCCTCTTAAACTTTGTTCTTTTATTAGGATGAGATAACAAAATGTTCACGTAAACACATTTTTCTATAAGCATAGTTTTTCGTCCGAACGTTTGATACTTACTTTGGGGCCCGATTAATCTGAATTTGCACCAAGAAGTCCCACTTCCTATCTGCAAAATTGGTCCTATTTATTTAAGTTATTTTGGAATTTTTGGGCAAATTACACATTTAGCCGCTTAGCCAAAAATAATTACATTTGCTAGTCGCGTATACAAAAAATATTTATAGAATATTAATATTATATATTAATATACAAAAAATATATATATTGTCGGCTATTATTTTTTGGAGCAGTTATACTATGTTGTCAAGTTTAAGCGAGATCAGCAATGGAAATCCCTAGATTGGGAGAAGAAGAGGGAGAGAACAAGAGCGCACATGTAAGCTCTGTATATTGATGAGCAGAATGAAAATGTTCTGAATAAATAACAGTTGTACGATACTAACTACTTATAAGAAAATGTAATAGTGTTAACTAACTCCTAACAATATCTAACATAATTAGCCGACTTTCTAACAGCTATTTACAATTATACCCTCGACTAAGTAACACCTTCTTCTACACTCCCCCAAGCTGGTAGGTGCAAAGATGTTTAGCACTCCCAGCTTGCCGGTCAAGTATTCATGTTGTATCCTGTTTAATCCTTTTGTCAAAATGTTTGCTAACTGATCCTTTGATCCAACATGTTGTGCTTTAACTAGGTCCAATTGTATCTTCTCTCTAATAAAATGACAGTCTTTTTCAATATGTTTGGTTCTCTCGTGATATATTGGATTTGTAGCTATTTGTAAAGCTGCCTTATTATCACAAAACAGATCAACTGATAATGCAACATCTGCTTCCAATTCCTTTCAATAGAGCAGTTAACCGAACAACTTTTGAAACTGCATTTGCCATGCTTCTGTACTCTGCTTCTGCTGAACTTTTAGAAACTGTGCTTTGTTTTTTGGACTTCCATAACACTAATGAATCCCCATACTTGATTAGAAATCTTGAAACTGATCTTTTTTATTTGGACAAGAGGCCCAGTCTGTATCACAGTATACAGTGAGTTTATTGGATCCTGTACTACTGAACAAAATTCCTAAACCAGGCTCTCTTTTGATGTATCTTGCTACTCTCATGGTTGCATCCCAATGGGATTTCTTTGGTGGTTGTAAAAACCGACTCAGCGTCTGTACAACATAAGCAATATCTGGCCTTGTCAAAGTGAGATACAACAATTTTCCTATTAATCTTTGATACTGATTTATGTCTGCAAGAATAGGATCATCTTTCTTCTCTATTAGTTTATCATACTCTTGTACTATCAACTTCACATTGACTTCCAATGGTGTCCAGGATGGTTTTGCATCTCCCAGGCCTAGATCAGATATAATCTCCAGTGCATATTTTCTTTGATTCACTAGTATGCCTTTACTTGACCTGTTGAATTCCATTCCTAGGAAAAATTTCAACTCGCCCAAGTCTTTAATTTTGAAAGCTTTGTGCAATGACTCCTTTGTGTCTTATATCATCTTCAGTTTGTTCCCAGTGACTAACATGTCATCTACATAGACAAGTATCACCACTACATTGCTTATCTTTTATGATAAACAGGGAGTGATCAAGACTACCCTGATTGAAGCCTGATTGCAATAATGTCTTTGTGAGTTTCAAGTTCCATTGCCTACTGGCTTGTTTTAATACATACATGGATTTGAGAAGTGTGCATACTAGCTTGGGTTCCCCCTGACTTGAGAATCCCTGAGGTAATTCCATATACAGCTTATCATGAAAATCACCCTGAAAGAAGACATTATACACATATAACTGATGGATATGCCAAGCTTGCATAGCAGCTAAAGAAAGAACTGTTCTAACAGTGACAATTTTACCACAGGTGAAAATGTCTCATGATAATCAAGACTTTTAGTTTGACTATATCCTTTGGCCACTAATCTGGCCTTAAACCTTTCAACCTCCCCATCAACCTTCAGTTTCACCTTGTACACCCATCTGCACCCAATTGGTATTTTCCCATGTAGCAAAGGAACTAACTCCTAAGTTCTGTTGTCTTGCAGAGCTTGGATTTTAGCATTTATAGAATCAACCCATCGACTATCCTTAGAGGCTTCATGAAAAATTTAGGTTCTGATGTAGCTGAGAGAGCACTAAAATAGGCTTGGTATGGGATGGACAACTGATTATAGGACACATAATAGGACATGGAATATGGATGTTTAGTAGAAGTAGTAGTCACATTATCTGTTAACCATAAAGGCTGTTTGGTGACTTTTGAGATCTTCTAAGAGAAGTGTCCTCTTCAACTGGTAGAGATGCTAAGATTTCCTCAAAGTCATCAACAAAAGTGGAAGATAAATCATCCAGCTGGTGAGAATCAGAAGGTGGGATAACTGGTGATGACACTGAAACTGTAGGTGGAGACTCAGTTGAAATTGGTGCATCAGCTACA